GATTTAGCACGCCGGGCACCCCTGTGGCAAGCCAACAGGGGACGGCGGACCAAGACGCCTACGGCGAATCACCGCCGCCCCCTGCCCCTTTGGAAGCGCCTCTGTGGCCAACAGCTGGGCCAGAGCTTGGCCAAGCTATCGAACCATGAGTTCCCCGAGTCGGTTTGGAAAGCCTTCGGGGAACATGTGGGGGAGCAAGAAGAGGAGGAGGGGGAGGAGGGGAGCAAAGAGGAGGAGGAGGAGGAGGCCTCTTGGGCGCCTCTTGGAGCACTCGTGTGCCCAGGAGTTTCCCGGGGGCCTCTTGGAGGGTTTTGGAGGCCTTTGGGGGCTTCTTGGGAGCCTCTTTGGCCGTCTCAGGGCGTTCCTGGCTTGTCTGACGCCGTCGGAAGCCGTCTTGAGGGCCTGTCTGGGTTGTCTTGGGGCCCTTTTGGGGCATATCAGGGGTTCTTAGAGGACATCTTGGGCGTCTTGGAGGCCTCTTGGGCCGTTTTGGGTCCCTCTTGGGACCGTCTTGGGGGCCTCTTGGGCCGTCATGGGGTCATCTTGGAGGCCTCGTGGGCGGTCTTGGGGGCCTCTTCGGGTGTCTTGAGCCGTCGGAATGCCGGAAAGAAGCACATGCCAAAATCTTTCAAACACCTGAAGCAATCAATGATTTTGGCCTCTTCGGGCCCTTCTGGAGGGCCTGTTGGAGGCCTCTTGGGCCGTCTTGGAGGTCTTTTGGGGGCCGCCTCTTGGGCCGTCTTAGGCCATTTGGAGGCCATCTCAGGCCGTCTTGGGTGCATCTTGGGCCGTGGTGGAGGCATTTTGGGGGCCTATTTGGCCGTCTTCGAGGCATCTTGGGCGTCTTGGAGGCCTCTTGGGCTGTCTTGGGGCCCTCTTAGGGGGCATCTTGGGGGCCTCTTGGGCCGTCATGGGGTCATCTTGGAGACCTCTGGGGCGATCTTGGGGCGATCTTGGGGGCCTCTTGGGCCGTCGGAAGGCCGAAAAGGAGAAAATGCCAACATCCTTCAAACACCTGTGCAAAATTAATGATGTTGGCCTCTTCGGGCCTTCCTGGAGGGCCTCTTGGAGTCCTCTTTGGCTGTCTTCGAGACCTCTTAGGGGGTTCTTGAGCCGTCTTGGGCCATCTGGAGGCTATATTAGGACGTCTTGGGTGCATCTTGGGCCGTCTTGGCGGCATTATGGGGCCATCTTAGCTGTCTTGGAGGCCATCTTGGAGGCCATCTTGGAGGCCATCTTGGGCCATCTTGAGCGAAACATTGGGGGATTGAGGTCCTGGGCAATCTTTCCCGGACCCCGGCGGGCTGGGCCGAAGACCCAGGGGGAGTTAGTTTGGAAAAAGAGCCAAAATCAAAACAGACAGGATTTAGCACGCAAGGCACCCCTGCGATGAATCGACAGGGGGCGGCGAATCGAAGACGCCTACGGCGAATCACCGCCGCCCCCTGCCTTTTCGGAAACGCCGATGTGGCCGAAAGTTTGGCCAGAGCTTGGCCAAGCTATCGGACCATGAGTTCCCCGAGTCGGTTTGGAAAGCCTTCGGGGAACATGTGGGAGAGAATGAAAACGAAGAGGAAGAGGAAGAGGAAGAGGGAGAGTAGGAGGAGGAGACTTCTTGGGAGCCTCTTGGGGCACTCGGGGTCTGCTGGGAGCTTCCTGCAGGCCTCTTGGAGGCCTCTTGGGGGCCTCCTTGGGCCTGCTGGGGGCCTTTGGGGGCTTTTGGGGGGCCTCTTTGGCCGCCTTAGGGCTTTCCTGGCCCGTCTGACGCCGTCGGAAGCCGTCTTGGGGTTGTTCAAGTTACTATTCGAGGGGAGGGGGGCAAGAAAAAATCATGGTTTCCAAATTGGACACATTGAAGGGAGCCCACGTTGATCCCCCGCATGACCAAAATGTGGCGGTCCAAAACATATGTGCTCAATGCCACATCAAGATGCTACGGCCAATATGTGGAAAATGCCACATCAATGCGTTGCGCAGAAGGTGCGGAAGGCTGCGCGCGTGCTCCAACGCCACTTTTGGTGTTGTTCCCACATACTTACCAGCTAAGAGCGCGCAGCGCGCGCGAATTTAGAGAAACAGCGCGACTGCAATGGGGCATGCAGTTCAAATGTTGGCGCCATGACGCGCGTTCACGTTCCAAGACTCTACAATGAGCTTGGCGCTGCATGTGAGTGGGAAAGTGCGTGCATCCGCGGCTGATTGGCTCAAAGCGGCCGGCCGTCTAGATCTGACTACACCGCAGTGCGAGGTGTAGTATTTGCCATCGGTACCAAAACTGCTTGAAATGGGTCGCCTCCTACTAGTGGGACTATCGCTAGTACGGTGCAACAGAGCTGGAGTTTGGCTTCGCCTAAGACGAAGCTGCTGGTTGGGCCTCCCAACTCCTTTCAAACTTGGTAGCGGAGCTGGCCTATGGTGGTCAGCTCTTGCTCTACTCCTCACCATCCACGGCACTATCTGGTCGACTATTGACGTGGTGGAACATCAGGGTGCAGTGGGTATGCGCGGAAGAATGCATATAACTACGTAGCACAGCAAGGACATTTGCAGTGATTTCTCTGACTACGCAGAGGCCCTTTTTCCCGCGTCCCACATCCCTGCGCTACTACACCCCTGCTGAAGTCCACCCACCGACTCCATTTGGAAGCCTCTTCGAAGACGTAATGCATGGAAACATGCAACGTGCGATGCGACATTGTGCCGCCTCCACCCCCACGCAGGCTTACGACCACACACCGCAAACCTCAACCAACGACATCCGACTACGAACTGCGAGGCCACTGGATTGGTATTACTATCTTTGGGCTCACATGGGTTGCTATCGGGCGCGCTGTGGGACATTTGCGCGGCGGAGACGACGCAAGAACGACCGGCCCTCATTGGGGCCCGTCCAGTCAAGTACCTTTCCGCGAATTCGCTCGCGAGGTGCATGCTTGGATCAACGTGGCCACAGGCTACATGGCGCCCTCCCAACAAGCTGCAGCCTTGCAGCGAGGCCTGGGGTGCCTCGCACGGACCATAGCCATGGGAGTTCCCCCGGCAGTTGTCCATTTCGGCGTTTAAACAGGTGGCCGCCGTGCGACGGCGCCACCTGCACCATGTTCCTCTCAAGTGCGAAGTTCGAAAAACTAGCAGAGGAACGCCAACTCAACTCTGGTACAGCTCTCATTGACTTCCGAGTCCATGCGGGGGAACGGATCGACCAGACTCTGGCACGCGTCGAGATAGCCCGCCATGAAGCTGGAGCTGCAGGCTTCAACATCCCCAACTTCCAAAGTCTAACAGTTATTTTTACTCAGAGCCCTTGGAGCGGGGACGTCGCGTGCGCAGCAACTCCTGCAACCACTAAACCACCGCGCGCCGAGGGAACAGCAACAGTTTGACTCCCTACTTGAACGCGTGAGGTCATATGTTCACATTTCTGAGAGACCCCCCGGCAATATTGGTGGCATTTTCAGTAACGGTCGCCGAGCCGAGACTTTCCACGTTGAGGCAAACGCAGGGCAACTTGCTAAGAACGTCTGGAATGACGGTCCGCAACCAACAGAGACCACCACACTGCAGGCTCAGAATGGTGGTCAGGCCTCGGGGTCGCAAGACTCCTGGGCCAGGTTTCGGGGGCCGCCCGATGCGGTGGCCCCTACACAAGCCACAACCCTAATGGGCTCATCGGGGTAGCCTGCTGAGTCCGACTTCGACTACGGTGCCGACGCCGACGCGTCTTCGGGCGACGAGGCTGCCGCCTTTGATTATTCCGATATGCCCGCGTATCTCACGGAAGAGCAACAGGCGCAATGGTTATTCTTAGGATATCAGAAGCACAACGCAGCTGGGGGCGATTTATGAAGAAGCCAGTTCGTGAAGTACGGCGCATGGCAAGGGCCGAGGTAAAGGTAATGGTATGCGGCGGCGATTGCATGGCAGAGGCACGTTAGCATTCCCAGCATCCCTTACCGGGCCACAGTGGGAAGAGATGTTCCCGGGTGCAGGCAGGAACCGCAGGCGCACATCAGGAAAAGGTGAGGGGCGTCGGGGAAACCCGAAGGATGCCAACGGTCAAACTATGGAGTGCGACATATGCCATAGCACGCAGCACTTTCGCCGCGAATGCCCTCAGGGCGATGGGAGAGGCAGAGGTCCGTCGATACATCTGGCTGATACCGATTCGGATATACAGTCTGTTGTCTGGGAGTCACTTTTGTTGTAGTTGCATTTCGTAACCTCACGGCGACTGGGGGTCACCCCGCCGACAAGTCAGTTGCAGTTGTTAACTTCATGGCTGCCAGATATTCGAGTGCCAGTATGTTCCTCGAGAATTATGCCGACGGGATGTTCGAGGAGATATGCACTGGCCACAGGGATCGATCTGGCAGGCTGCCTCCTGGGCATGCCCATCGCGGGGTAAACTGCTGATATTGAATTTGTCGAGAACTTCCACGTGCCCGCCGAAGGAGATGACGATATGGCGGGGGCGCCCGCGGATTCAGAATCCATTATTCCTACAGCAGAGGAGGACATGCAGTGGATGCCCCGTCCTCGGGTTATTGGCAATCCGACAAACATGGAATTTAGTGATGATGACCGCGTGCGGGGGAACCCGCGAGATGTTAGCGATCTGTCAGAACGCATTCCGCGTGGGCCCGGCCACGACGCAGGATTTCAACATCGATTCGTAGCTTTGGGCCGCTCCATGAGCCGCCAGGAGCGATCGGCGAGCCGCCAGTCTTGGAAACGCAAGTATCGCGCTGACGACGACGACGAATAATGGGAAGATGACGCACGCCTGGCACGTCGCGGTCGGGCCCGCAGTGGCTCGCCCGACCGCGCGCGCGCACGCTCCAGCGGCGCTCGCTCTAGCGGCCTTCGGCGCCCTCGTCCTCCTGACGCGACGATGCCAAGGGCCCCATCCATGGAAGGTCAATAGACCCGAATTGATAGACTTTTCGGGCGCAGTCGAACGAGCGCATCCACAGTGGTCATGCCGGACGGGAGATCGCCAGGACGGAGGCGGATACGGCCGACTTTCGCCTGGGCAGCTTCCAGCTCTCATCTGCTCACCCTGCAAGCGCGCTTCGATTTCACTTGGGAGAAATGGTATCCCTTTGCTCGGTTTTTGAATGGCCAATTGCCACGCAATCGATTGCAGGACGATGATATTTTGCACTTGCGGCGGCGACGACGCATATCACATATCAGAACGGGTGCCCGGAAATATGGCACAACTGATGGGAGGACATTCGAGAGCTGATGTACATGTTGCGCACACGGACGTGACTGGCGAATGTCTTGGAAAGCAACAAGAAGGGGCGCCTGCACCAGGGTCATAGTCTACCCCTGCTGGCCAGGGCGCGCTGGGCAATTTGGCCGCCGGGGCCCCGCCGGCAACTCTGGCTGCACCTCCAACCGCGCCGGCCGCGATGCGGGGGAATCCGGCAGAGAAGGGCGACTGGCGCGGACACGGTGTCATGCGCATTCGGGACGATCCCGCCGACCTACCAGAGGACCAGCACGCCCAGAGTTATTCTACCTCAGCAGTGCCACAACTGCAGGTGGCGACGTCTTATGCGACAGCCCGCTCGCCGAGCAAGGTGCTTTATGGGGCCGTTTGGCGGCCCTCTTGGAGGCCTCCTGGGCAGTCGTGGTGCGGCGTTGGGGGCCGCCTGGGAGCGTCGGGACGGCGAAAATCCGATAATGTCCGGATTTTTCAAACACCTTGGGAAAATCAATGAATTTGGCTTCTTCGGGGCCGTCGCGGGTGGCCTCTTGGAGGCCTTTTTGGGCGTTTTGGGAGCCTCTTGGGCCGTCTGGAGGCCATCTCGAGGGTCTTGGAGCGGCGATTCGGGGCCTCCTTGAACGGTTTTGGGGGCTTCTCGGTGCCCTCTTGGTCCGTCCTGGGGCCCTTTCGGACTACAGAAAAACGATGAGACGCGGCAAGCCCAAGGGGTGTGCAAGATAATTAATTGGAAAGTGCTGGGTCTGGGCCCCGAAAATATTTTCCAGGAGTGAGGATTGAGGATTTGGGCTCACGGAGTTGGACCAAGGATTTGAGTACACGCCCAGTCCGTGCCCAGCGGCACGGTGGCGGATGCTTTGGGCGAGTGCCCGCATATCTCACCAGTGCTTACCGAGCGCGTTCCACTACTCGTACAGTGCCAATTCGCAAACGTCCGGGACAACCAACATATTTGTTTGATGAGATGGAACGAAAGTCTTCTGCGAGTAGTTACTTTGCGATTCATGGAACGCGCCTGTCCAAGTGTATCTCACGCTGCTCCCATCCTGCGCGTTGGCGTGCCGTGCGGTCCTCGTGCGCCGGACCGGGTTTTGTCCTGCTGGCCTGTCGCCCAGATTGGTTGTTGGCCGTTTCGGGCCTTGTCCTTCGGGGGCATCGGCAGGGGCTGGACGGGGCTAGGACGAGGATAAATCTGCCCACTGCGTTACAGAACGTTTCCAAAGCGTTCTGGGACGCTGTGAGAAGGCCGCGTTTCCCGAAGCACCCTCCAGAGCCGCCAAATTTCAAAGATTCCCGGTTTCAACCTTACGAGATGTCATCCCCGCCCTGGCTTCGTCATAGCGGGGGACATGCTCAGGGGGAGATGGGCCGACCCCGAATCGCCCATTCATCGCGTGATGATACCATTTCCGGTAAAGCTCGTTACAAGGGGGGGCGGGCGGGATGAACGGTAACCCTTGGGTGGGGTTGGGCATGTCGGGGTGGGGATGCGTTGCGATCGCCATAAGTTGCGGGCGGGCGGGATGAACGGTAACGCCTGAGTGGGGTTGGGCACGTCGCGGTGGGGATGCGTTGCGATCGCCACAGTATGCGCACGAGCACCAGTATGTGTGTGGGGTGGTCCAGGCACCCGACATACGTACGATCGCTACCTTTACCCAGGGGAGTTTGACCCAGATAACGTTTTAGAGTACAAACATTCACAATGAGGCTTGATAGTCCGCCCTTCCCAGGGGCGTGTGGTCTCGCTATCGGGGGCCTGGCTCGGATCTATCGGCGATGTGTCGTCGATTCCAGCTCGATGTTTCCCCCCTTTGAGCCAGTCCCCCTAATGTTTCACCTCGCTCGTGACCAGACGAGCCCGCGCTGTCTTTCGGACGGCGGCGCGCGTGTTCGTCCGTATTTTTTTGAGCAGCCACGGCTCGGGTATTTTGTTGTTGCGCATGTTGTGCCATCCTAGAGGCCAAAAAGAGGGTGTCCTGAATGAGGGTGAGGGGGTTGGAGCCCCGACAATTGTCTCAAGACATTTTGGGACGCTCTTGTGGACCTTCGGGGCCATCTTGGGACGCTTCTTGGCTGCTCTTGGGGCTCTCTTGGCCATTATTTGAGCCATCCTAAGGCCTCGAAAGCCTGTCGGAAGCGAAAAGGCGAGAAGACTCAAGTCGCCGAGAGCATATTCCACAAAGCGTTTATTTGCGCTTGCGGGTTCTTACTTGTTTCGTCAGTCGTTACGAGGGTGTGCCAGGTTTTCGCCCGGTGCTTGCCTGGTGCCCGCCCGTGGTCGCTTCGTAGGCAGCTCGTGCTGGGAGGGTGCGCCAGGGTGTCGTTCGGTGCCTTCCTGTGACGGCCTTGTGTCTGGTGGTCGCTTTGGGGTCGCTTCGCGAGCGCCTCGTGGGCGCCTTGGACCACATGGAGTTCACAACCGTCCTTACTTTCCATGGGTCGCACCACATACGCAGCGGAAGCCACATACCTTCCGGGGCATCCCAAGGCGACCATCGCCGCTGGTTGGGAGCGGGAGCGAGAGGTCTCTGCAGTCGAACCGTCTCGCAGAGTAGGAGCTTGGATCCTCCTCCTGCTTGGTGCCTTTCCCCCTCCTCCCTCCCCTCGCTTATTTTCCTCTGCGCGCTGTGCCGCGCAAGTGCTCCAACGGCTCCATCCTCCCTGTCCTTCCTCCCTCCTTCTCTTGTTCCTCCATCCCTCCTTCCGCCATAAACAGTCACGCAGAGCAACATGATGAGAGATCATGTTCGGGCCATCCGATGCGGCCAGGCGCTGCATGGCGCTGCAGTGCGTCCTGGTGTGGCCGATGCGACTCGATTCCGACTCCTTACCGACGCGGCCCGATCCGATTTGCATCCCGATTCGATTCGATTTCCCGATTCGATGTTGGTTGACGCTGCACGGGGACCTGCCTCTCCTCCTCCTCCTCCTCCTCCTCTTCCTCCTCCCTCTGCCCTGACCTTGGAAAGAGCGTGTTCTACCGCTGCTGGCGGAAAACCGGGGGGGGTCACTACCGGTTCGAACCCCTCCCCCCCCCCCTCCGGAAAACCGGGGGGGGTCACTACCGGTTCGAACCCGTCCCCCCCCCCCCGTTCATCATGAAAAGGGGGGGGGTCACTACCGGTTCAAACCCCCCTCTCTCCCTCGAACTCGAAAACCGGGGGGGGTCACTACCAGTTCGAACCCCCCCCCCCCTCGAAAACCGAGGGGGGGTGCGGACAGTGGTGGGGACGGTGGTGGTGGGGACAGTGGTGAGGGGGCAGCGGGACAGTGGTGGGGGGGACAGTGGGACAGTGGTGGGGATGGTAGTGGTGGGGACAATGGTGAGGACAATGGTGGGAACAGTGGTGACAGTGGGACAGTGGTGGGGACGGTGGTGGTGGGGACAGTGGTGTGGGGACAGTGGGAATGTGGTGGAAACAGTAGGACAGTGGAGGGTACAGTGGTGGTGGGGACAGTGTGGTGGAGGCGGTGGCGAGGACGGCGGTGGGACAATGAGAGAGAGGTACAGTGGGGACAGTGGTGGGGACAGTGGGGACAGTGGTGGGAACAGTGGGACAGCTCAGTGGGACAGCGGAGGAGTCAGTGGGACAGTGGGGACAGTGGGGATAGTCGTGGATAAAGTTGGGAGAGTGGAACCGTGGGACAGTGGGGACAGTGCGACAGTGGTGGTGGCACTGGCGGGGACAGTAGGGGCGAACCAGTGGGGACAGTGGTGGTGAGGACAGTGGTGCTGGGAACAACAGTGGGGGATGTGGTGAGGACGGTGGTAGGGACTGGGAGTCGTTTGCTGGCGGTGAGAGGGGGGTGTGGGGAGCGAACCGGTAGTGACCCCCCCCTTCGGTTTTCGAGGGGGGGGGGGGTCGAACCGGTAGTGCCCCCCCCGATTTTCGAGGGGGAGGGGGGAGGGGGGAGGGGGGGGGGGGCGGTGCCGGGGAGGGGGAGGGGGGGGTCCAGCAGGGGGGGGGGGATTTTCGGAGGGGGTGGGGGGGGATCCCTGGGTTCCGGAGGAAAAGGTCGGCAGTTTTCCACAGTAAAGCGGCGGTGGATCACGCTCTCTCTGACCTTGAAAGTTCCACGAGCGAGTAGATTTGTTCAAAGGTGCTTTGTTGCAGATGTGGAACATGAGCAGCAGCAAGCATGTGAGACAACAGAAATGCAGCGCAGGGCTGAGTCTTCTTCTTTGCCTTTTTCTTCCTCATTCTTCTCCTTCTCACCCTGAATTGTTTGATTCGCTTGGCCTCGAAGAGGCAGACCTCGCCTGTGTTCGCGCTAGAAGCGGGGCCACGACGCGTTCGTCCAGCTCACTTCAAGAGGGCTCGGGCTCAGACGCGTCCGATCTTTTCAGACCCAGTTGGATACCCTCAGGCCCGTCTCCGACAAGACGCTCCCCCTGACTCCTCGCTCCTTTTGCCTCCTCCTCGTCCTGTTGGGGGGCAGGAGGTCGGGCAGAACAGCAATGGGGCCAGGAGAGGACGCGCCTGCCCCTGCCAGGGCGCCCTGGGCGGGCATGCGGGCGGCGGGTGGGACGCCAAGCCGAAGGACCCGTGGGCGGAGGCGTCGGGGGCGTCCAAGAGGGGGGTGATGACTTACACTGCACTGGAAACGTGACACAGCTGTTGTCTTCGATTTGTTTGCTTTCGTCCTCTGGGGGCGCGTTTTCGGGTCCCCTAAGGCCGTCAGAAGCTCACTTGGGATGAAAAGCTACCCGCGGGGAAGTCCCCTGGATGGTTCTTCTGCACGGCCTGCAGAAGTAGAACCGCTTTTCCAGTTGGGTGCAAGAGGGGGTGGGTATCATGGCCAGGGCCATGATAGAGACTATTTTTGCATTCCCTGGCGATAACGGGCCCGACAGGAGGGTCTGGCGAGAGGGGGAGGGGGCCGGTCACGCCACGACTCGAGCCAGGGCCGTCTGGGATTGTTTGTGGACTTGCGAATTCCCAGACGGCGCCAGCACGAATCGCGACGTCACCCAGGGCGGGGGGGAGAGGGGTGGGGGCGGCGGGGGCGGGGCCAGTCACGGGCGTTATCCGGAGTAGTGAGAGAAACCCGGCTCGTATTGGGGGGCCCAAAATTATACACCACCACCACCTCCCTCACCCCCTCCCTCTCCCCAGGCAAGAGCAGAGGAAGAGGAGGGCAGAGGAGAGAGGAGGCATCGACGTGGTGGTGGTGTATACTCTCTGGGTCCCCATCGTATGTCTCCCCAGATTTCGTGGCCCCATCTGCTGAGCACAGGGCGTCCCGCGTCCCTTGGTCCTCCCACCGGGTCCGCGCACGCACGCCTCCGGCCATGAGTCAGGATGGAAAGAAACACACAGACACGATCCATCGTCGACTCCCAGGAAAGGATGGAACCATATGGGAAGCGAGGGGGAAGACAAACACCCAGAAAGTATGGTAAACTATAGGGGAATCTTGTTATTTGTGTGTGTTGATTTGTGTGTCCCAGGGCCCCTTCAAGATCTTCCGACCGTACAATCCGGTTCAATGGCCCTTTCATCGGGCCCTGTGGCCCCTCGCCGTTCTTGCGAGGGCCCCCCAGGAGTTGCCTCCCGTCCTCCTCCTTCTCCTCCTCCTCCTCCTCCTTTTCCTCAGTTTCCTCTTCCGTACCCTCCTCCTCCCCCTCCTCCTCCCAAGGCCCCTGCAAGGAGTCGCGAGGCCCCCCCCCTGCGTGGCCGCCCCCCTCCCTGGCTGCCCCCCGGAGGCGTGGGGCCAGGCGCAGAGCAGCTGGGCGGAGCCGGGGCCTCGGCGCGGCCCCCCGCCCCGAGGGGGGGCGCAGAGCAGAGGCGGCTGGAGCACGTGCTTCTCGCAGGGTCCAGGAGGAGGAGGAGGAGGAGGAGGAGGAGGAGGAGGAGGAGGCGGAGGGGGAGGCGTCTCGAGGGGGGGCTCGAGCAGTCAAGCAGTGGCGAAGCGTCCTGGCCCAGTGCTTCTCGCAGGCCCAGGGTTAGGTCGGGCCGGTCCCCCTACAGGGGGATTTTCGACGAAAGATAAAAGATGCCCCAAAAATAGTCTAACAACAGTTTGGGGACTATTTTTGGTGCATTTTTCTGTTACCTTTTTGGAATATGTTTGGGGTATTCTTGATTTTTCGCCGAAAATCCCCCTGTAGGGGGACAGGCCCGACTTAAGCCTAGAGGTTGACACCAATACCAAGATCGGCGGGGTGCCTCCACCGAGGGAAGACGATCCCGAGCTCGGTGATGTCGGGGGGAGTGAGGAGGGGCGGGCCTTCTCGGGAGGCTCGGGAGTCCCCCGGCCTGCTGAGGAGTTTTCTAAGCCTTCTCCAGAGACACGCAAAACTCCTCAGAAGGCGCGAGGGCTTCTGAGAAGTCCCGCCGCATTCTGAGGAGGCCTTCTCCTTCTCACTTCCCCCGCTCACTCGCCGCCGAAAGGCGGTGGGAGCATGTTTGTCCACGGCTCGAGACCGTCAACCACGGATCCAGGGTGAAGGATGGCGCCAGATGGTCCAGGGGCAGATTTTGAGCGGACCTGTCCTCGACTCTCTCGAGGTCCATCCAGTTCAGAGTCCCCGGCCGCCTCCAATCGGGAACGACGTGTATCCTAGGCCTCGCAAGTCGGCAGCTGGTTTATCGCCCTGCACGTTCTCGGGGGTGGGCCTGCCCTCGCCTCTCGCAGAGGGCGGCACCGGGAGGGGGCCCTGGCGCCCTCACGTGCCCCCGCATGCGCTCGCGCCCTCGTGCCCGGGGTCTCCCAAGTGGCTCGGCATCGCTCGGACGTGTGCATTCTTCCTTTGGTGAGGACTATCGAGGAGCATCCTTGATCATGTGGCGAAACAAGCACGCACGAAACCGAAACAAAAACAGGGAATGGACGTCCGAGCGATGGCGAGGTGGGGTTCGAGCAGGTGGGGTCGGAGGATCGCGCCGCATCGCCGAGGCATCGGCGGTGCGGCTCGATGTGGAGCGCGATTTCCCGCGCCGACGGCGCCGGTGTGTCGCCGTCGTCGCCGGAGCATCGCCAATGCGTCGGGGATCGCGCCGCATAGCCGAGGCATCGGCGGTGCGGCTCGATGCGTGGAGCGCGATGTTCCGCGCCGACGGCGCCGGTGCGTCGCCGACGTCGCCGGAGCAGCGCCAATGCGGCGGCGATGCGTCGCCCAGGCATCGGCGACGGGGCGCGGCCCTCCGACCCCATCGATGCTCCAGCCTCGTCTTGGAGGCTACTGTTGAGTCGGGCCTGTCCCCCCACAGGGGGATCTTCGACGAAAAATAAACGGTACCCCGAACATAGTCCAAACATAGTCCAAACATAGTTTGGGGATGCTTTTTTGAAGATTTTATGGCCTTTTTGGAGCATGTTTTGGGGTATCTTCGATTTTTCGTCGAAAACCCCCCTGTAGGGGAACACGCCCGACTTAAGGCTCTAGCGGTGGAGGTAACTACCTCCCTGTTTGTGGCTCTTCGCGTTTTCTCTACCACTTCCTGCTCTTCGCGTTTTCGGGGCCTCCCGGGAGGCCTTCGTCGCCACGGTTAGATCGGCCTCGAAGTCCTGGTCAGAGGGTGCCTCCTGGAGAGGTACAGGGAGAAGCGGTATGGGCACATCGTGGCTTCCCAATTAGGGGAACAACAAGTGGCATAAACATAACAACTCGGAGGTCCGCGCGGATTTCTCGGATCGGCGCTGGGGCCCCCCGGCGGCTCCTCCGGCGCCGCCCCTGGCGCGCTCCGCGCGCCAGGGAGGGGGGTCCAGCGCCGAGCCGAGAAATCCGCGTGGACCTCTGAGTTTTTTCCTTTTTTGTTCCCCTATCCAGGGAATGTTAGCGGGCCCTGGGATCATCGAGTGAAGTCGGGGGGGAAATTCGCCCCCAGGGAAGCAGTAGGGGCCCCTGGGGCCGCGGATGGAGAGTAACCGATCGGTCGGGGTCGAGGTTTGACAGAGGAGGGCGAGTTGAGACAGCATTAGTTGGGCCCTCGCGGGGCCCTCGTCGCCACGGCTGGACGCAGCTCGGAAACTTTGTGCGACCGGACCCTGGGAGGGGTCGGGGGCTGGTTTTAGGATGTTTGGTAAACGTAAACGCGTGGCGCACCACACCCCCAGATCGGGGAACGCTTCCATCTCCTTGCTCCTGCTCGTGCTTGCTCGTATCTCTCCCTCCTCCTGCCCTCCCCCGTCGGGCCGTCGGGGGCTCGAGCCTTTCTGGGCCAAGCTGGGGTCGGCCTCAGGTGGCCCCAGGCCGGGGTCCCGGGCCCCCCGGATCCCAGAAGACGCGCGGCGGCGATGGCGCCGCGCGGCCCGCAGAGGCGCCCGCGAGGCGGCGCGGCGGTGGCCTGGCGCTCGGTGGCGCCGGTGGCGTGGCCTCTCCCCCGGAGGGCCCTGGCGGGGCCCCCTCGGGCGCGCATCATCAGGCGCCGCCGGGCCAACCACCGGCTCGGGGAGGGGAGGCGGGAGCCCACAGAGACCTTGACGACCTACGCGGTTCTTTGATGGAGGGCTGGGGCTTCGGGGCGCCGATCTGGAGGACGCTTGGAAACACCACCTCTTGGAGTATCGAGGGCGCGGGGGAAGGCGCCTTCAAGTCCCTGGGAAATTTTGCACCACGTCTTCTCCACCCGTTAGGAGGAGGCCTGGCTCAGGACCGACGGCGGGCGGCCTCGCTCTGCGGCGCCGCGTGGCCCGCCGTCGTTCGGGGAGGGGCTTTCCTGCTGATGACGGGCGTCGCGGCCCTCGTCGCGCACGGCCTGCGGGCCCTCTTCGCGCTCTGCAGCTGGGCAGCCTGGGGTCCTGGCAACACTGCCCTCAGCCTCGCGCGGCGCTTCCCCAGACGCCAAAGGCCATGCGAAGCAGAGCTGGACGTGCTCTTGCCGACGGCCACCCCCGCTTTGGTGACCGCCCAATGCAAAGGCCCGGGCACCGGGCAGGGCGCCACGACGAAGCACTTGCGGAAACGCATCAAGAAGGAGAGGGGGCACAGGAGGCATGTGAACGATTTGCTGATCCGCAAGGACGGTTGAAGCTAGACCTCCAGGACCTGGAGCGCATCCTAGGACAGGCCTCTGGGTAGCCTGCGCCGCGGCCCTTGGGCCCAGCAGCCGCTCCATTCGGAAAGCGTTTTTTGGGCCAGCCCAGGTGGGTTCACCTGTGCCGCTCGAAGGAGTGCCAGGAGAAGGCTGGCGAGCTGCGCTGCAGAGAGTGCGCGGCGAGGGACTCCGAGGCGATCATCGATCTGGGCTACCGCTAAAAGTTGTCAGCCTGCCGCATCTGCGCCCTCTTTTGCAGGAGTTGCAATTGGCGCTGCAGCGCGTGACTGGGCGCGCTGACCTGTCGCGGGCCCGGCGCGCGCCGCCGCCGCCGTCGCGCTGCGACTGGCGTCGCGGGGCTTGGCGAAAAAGGGCGGTCGCGAGCTTCCTCGACCAGGAGTCCGAGCCGGAAGCCGAGTCGGGGGGGCGCCCTAGCCGTCCGCGCGGGGATCCTCAACGGCGGGGCCATGCGCCCGCTGGCCCCGGGTGGCCGCCGAGACGCTGCAGGCGCAGCGCCCGCCGCACTCCCCGCGGAGGGTGGCCGGACTCTGTCCTGCCAGCGCCGCGCGAGGGGGCCCGCGCAACCGCGCCCCTTTGTCCGCGTCGCCGGCAGGTGTGCGCGGCCGCGAGTTGCCGGGGCAAGTGCTCGCACATGACGTGCCACAGGCAAGCCGTGAACACGGTCTCCGGCGCGCCCTTCAGTCTCGCGCGCGTGGGAGGCGAAGCTGCGCGCGCCCATCGGGATGGCGAATCCGCGGGCGGGCTTTCTCGCAGGACTTACTGAAGTCAATGATTTTGGCATTGTCGCAGAGGCTTCTTGGGGCGTCTTGAGCGACTCTGGGGGGCCTCTCGGGGGTTTCTTGGGAGTCTCTCGGGGGCGTCCTGGGGACTTCGGGGGCCTCTTGGGGCCCCCTGGCCACATCTCGGCGCTCTCTCGGGGCGCCCGCGGGGGCCTCGAGGGCGCTCGTGGGGCCATCTCGGAGGAGATGGATCAAAGAAGGGGGGCGGGGGGGGGGGCCCTCATTGGCGCCGCCCCCCCAAGAGGCCAAAATGGGGCCCGCACCTTAGTGGGGCCGATGACTCTGACCCCCTCTCTCGAGGCCGTTCTCTGCGCCCCGACCGCGCGCGGAACGCCCCGCCCAGGTCCGGGGGGGGGGGGCGGGGCGGGAGATAAATCCTTCCCCGAAGGGGGAGAAGGGGGCGGGGGAGGAAACGCCAAAAACCACCTGCGCACTAAAGGGGTGGCGGGATTCAAAGATGCGCAGCATTTGCGCGGATGGATGGCGGCCCTCGTTGAAGATGCGGCTCTCGCCAAACATTTCCGATTGACCAGGCGTTGGGCGTTGCGCAGCAGTCGCGCGGAAAGAGGGCGGCCCCTCGGGGGCGCGCGGAGCCCATCACCGCGGCCAGGACTGAGGGCGGGCATCTGACATGGCGGCCGAATCGGCCGCAGCCTGACCGGCCGCGTCGGCCGCTGCCTGACATGAGTCGGCCGAAGCAGCCGCGCGCGCCACGCCGCGGCACCTCGTTGCTCACCATCGAGCGCGAAGTCAATCGCGGCGTTGCTCACCTCACGCATGCCTCGCCCGTTGAGGTTGAGCGCCGGTCTCGCCGCATCACCCCCGTCGTCGCAGTGGATGTCGGCGGCTCTGAGCACGGGCTCGCCAATGTCAGCGCGCCCGGACTCCCATCGAGCGCCGTCCGCTTGAGGCGGCTCGCGTTGATGATCGGGCGGCCCCGCGTTGGCCCCGTCGAGGT